TCAATAAATATTACTTTAGTTTAGTAGCTACATGAAGGGATAAGTGGAAAAATTTGACCAATATCTAATACTAGAAGTCTGATGCATGGATTTGTGCACCAGTGTGGTCCCTTAGGCTGGCCAACTTGCTCTCCCAACACCCTCTGAGAGGTCCCAGATTGCAAGAGGGCACAGGCCAGGCCAAGGGACCCCACCCGTGCACAATCAGGCCAGGGAGGGGCTAAGGGAGGGCTCCAGGGAATGTCTGGCCCATCTCACCCAGTCCTGATCAACTGGACCCCAGCAGGAAGCTAACCTACTGTTCAGAATGTCTGCCCCCTGGTAGTCAGTGCACATCATAGCAACTGGTTGAACACAACGTATTAGTGTTACCAGTTGGACACTTAGCCTATTAGGCTTTTATTAACTATAATAATAAAAGCATAAAATGCTAATTAGACCAGTGTCCTTTTGGACATCCTTCCTTCCGGATAGTGGTCAGGGGCCACTGCAGAGGTGGGCAGGGACAACGGCAGAGGGGCTGGGGCCAAGGCCCTTACATGAATTTCACACATCGGGCCTCTAGTATAGGATATAAAGAGTTCCTACAAATATATCTTTACAGTGGTATTTTATATATAGAATTCATTTTTCTAATTCAATCAACCTGCCATATTTTGAAATTTGTTTTCAAGCACAAAATTTTTCACATTAAACTTGATTTCATGAATTCCCTACAGCCCGTTTCAAGGTAGATGCTATTGGATCAGACTTTTCTCTTCCAACACCAATTTTGAACTTTTTCTTTTGTATTGAAGTGACTTCAGGCAAAAAGAATGTATCTTGAGTTGTTTTCATGAAATTTTATAGGACTAATTTAAATTTAAAGGATGTCAAGATACTTCACAGTAATAAGCCATCCAATACATTGTATAAAAAAAGTCAACACTGAGCTGTATGTTTAGAAATGGTTAAGATGGTAAATTTTATGTTATATAGTTTACCACAATAAAAATTTGAGGGGAAAGTGTAAAAAATTACACTCAGTTGAACAGTTGGTAAATCTTGATTTGCTTAAACACAAAATCCAGGGTGGGGCAAAAGTAGTTTTACAGTTATTCATATGGAAAATAGCACAATACTTAATAAGTAATAACACAAGAATAAATTGTTTTGAGTACTTACAACTGTAAACCTACTTTTGCCCCCACCCTGTATTTGTTTATACAACTTGAGATACATAAGATCTTGGTAAGTCTTTGAATTCTTCCCATTTTGAGCCTTTTCTTATTTGTTAAATGGGGAGGGCAATTATCTATATGTTTGAAAATTCTAAATTTACTTTACTTGTAAATAAAATGTTCCCTTCTGACTCTATTCTCCCTTCAATACTATTAATACCATTATTTGGAGAACCACGTATCTACGTCTCATTAATTCTTGAAACTTGTAAATAAAATGTTTGGCTTCTTGGCTATGCAAACAACTATAAGAAGGATAGATACAGAGATGAGGAAATAGAAATCAAATCAGTTGCAAACAGTAAATTTGCAGGCCTAACTGGAACTTACTGGCATAGAAATGGTAACACATTTAAGATTCTATATATTAGATTGCCCTATAAGTCTGCTTTATTGGAGGCTGTTTAAAATAAACCCATAAACCCTTTAAAGCGACATTTATGAAGTTTTTTAGTAAGTATATATGTTTCAACCTGAGAAAAGCAGAGGAGTCCTAGCAAGGATGCCTTGGCCATCTCTATGTTTCATGAAAAATTAAAACAGAATAAACATTATTATATAGTAAACTTCATTAATATCATTATAAATTCAAATTGCAAGCACTTACACAATGTACATATATTTCTTGTAAATATTGTTAAAAATAATGATCTTCCACACATTATATGAACTTTATAAACAAACTAAAGGCCTAGTGCATGAAATTCATGCACTTGGGAAGGGGTTGTTCCTTGGCCCAGATTGTGAGAGGACACAGGCCAGGCCAAGAGACCCAACCAATGCACAAACCCTTTAGTTTAGGATTTGTTAAAGGCAAAAGGACATAACTCTCAATTATTCCAGCCTTAGTTGGAAATTTGCATAGCCAAGAAGCCAAACATTTTATTTACAAGTTTCAAGAATTAAGCCAGGGAGGGATGCGGGAGTTTGGCCAGCCAGGGAGGGATCATGGGAGAGCTCCAGAGTTATGTCCGGCCCATAACTTGCTCAGACTCCAGCAGCAAGCTAACCTACTGGTCAGAGCGTCTGCCCCAGTGCATGTCATAGTGAGTGGTTGAGGGCCTTAGCATATCATTAATATAGTGCACTTTGTTTGGTTGAACAGCAGACCAGATGACCAGACACTTAGCACATTAGGCTCTTATTATATAGGAAAAAGGGAATACAACCTAAAATCAGTGAAAATTTCCAACTAAGGCTGGAACAATTGAGAGTTATGTTCCTTTGCCTTTAACTTTTGTAACAAAGTGTGGACTCCTTCATGTGAAAGCACTTTTAGCTTTAACATTCCTTATTAGCTTCAGGGGTGCAGTAGCCTTTGTTCTATTCACATTAATGGTTCCAGCCATTTTTGCTACTTTTGGGGACTCCTCTCTGCTTGGTTTCTGAGTTTTGCCCCTTTTTGTTTTAGTTCTCAAGGCAGAATTTTCCTTTCCTCTACCCCCTCTTTTGGCCTTTACAACTTCACTGATTGCTTTACCACCCCTTTCACTATCTACTTCCTTCTTCCTTTGGGCTGGAAGATACACATAGCCAAAATCACAGGTGACCTCTTATGTGCATGGTCCTTAGAATGAGTCAGGTGATTTTTCCTTGTCCACTGAGCTACATTCAGTCCCGTCATCATCCCTCTTACCCTTAAACCCATGGTTTAGGCTATCTATAAGTTGTTACTCCTTCATTACATCTTTGAATTGCTATTATCTATTTCAAAATTAGTTTATAATATTGTTTGATATAAGGAGAATTTTTTTTAAATGTTTATATTTATTGCAGAGCTGAAGGGAAAGGAGGAGAGAGAAACATCAATTATGAGAAAGTCATTGATTAAATGCCTCCTGCATGCCCCATACTGGAGATCAAGCCTGCAACCCAGGCATGTGCCCAGACCAGGAATCCAACCATGATTTGGTTCATAGGTCAACGCTCCACCACTTAGCCATGCAGGCCGGGCAGGAGATTCTTAGTTTTAAAATATATATGCTAGGTTATATTTTTGTTGGCTCTCTCATTCGTAGCCCCCAATATTTCTGTTAGGTTTTACTTAACATATTTTTGAAAAAAAGAAACATATGCTGTAGATTTGCAAGGTGGATCATACTCAGTCCTGATGAGCTCACTGTGGGCTTTTTGTGTCTTTGTGTCCTTAGGGCAAAGGTATTTGCATTGCACAAGTCTGTTCCCATTTTATGATGAACTCAGAATGTCATTTCGAGACAGGAGCATTGAATGAATCCGAAAAAAAAGGGGGGGTTAAGTATTATAGACATGGTGATTGCTTCTCCAGTAAGTAGAGGTGAAACTCTCCCCTCCTACAATGGACTTGGTATATAGTTTTCCTTGTATTCTGAACCAGAGACCTTGAAAGATGAAAAAGGAAATAGAGGGTCAAAGTTAAAGTTAGAGCAATGCTTCTCAAAATACAATAAAATTAAGTACTAGAAAATTGAAAAACATACCCCCTTTTTATTATTGCATTTAGCTGATGAAATTAGTGTGTCAAATTGACTTACAAGTTTCTAAACACTCATTGTCACTATGCTGTCCCAGTCCAGCAATGACTTGGACACCAGCACCAGTGGGGAGACTACACTTTCATAGCCCTGATTGAGGGCATTCCACTCACACCAGACAGGAAGTGCTACTTTCAAACAGAAACTCAGTGAACGTTTTGGAATGATTGCTCTGCTTGAATTTAGAGGGAAAAAGAAATGAGAGATCTATCAATGAATGACCTGAAGACTAAATGAAGCAGTGAACACTTACCAAAGATTTTTAGTAGAAAGTACACATAGTAAATGTTTGCTCTGTCATAATGTGATCGAGGCAAAAACCCACAACTTTAAAGAATTTATAAATTTTAATTAAAAAGGTATGAAGTCCTTTTCCTATGAAATATTCTTCACAAAGAAAATAGTTTCCCCTATCTCCAACTCTGTCTGATTATAAGTAAACATCTTAAGAAACACTGAATCAGAATATTTCATATGCTATTGTAGGTTGCTGCTTTATTTTCCCTGCACACTGCTAATTGCTTTCTAGACCTAATTTTTGGAATGCAGTTTCTTTCACATTTATGGATTACAGTTTCTACAGAGGCTCTGATCTATTTCTCTGTGCTAGGAGAGCACTACAGGAGATAGGCAGTCAATTGGGATTAGAATTCAATGTGTCAGCTAATTCAGAAATCCCAGTACAGAATTTAGCACTCTTGGTCAACATTGACTCTACAGGAAACTTGGCCTCCAAAAATCAATTATTGGATTATATCCATCTAACCCAAGAGTGGATTTGATGGTGACTGTTTTTATTTCCTATTACCAATAAAGTTATATTCATTTTATAAGCATAAATGTTTAAAAAAAGTTATTTTTTAAAATATTAGTTTTGTTGAGTGATGTCGCATTCTACAGAGTTACTTTTCAAGATATTTGAATTAGGAAAACTGAAATCACTATAAAGGAATGTAGTGTCTTACGATTTTCAGAACAAAATGAAATATCCACCCATTTAAGACATTCATTTAACTCAGATGTTTAAAATATTAAGAAAATAAATAAATTCCCTTGGCAAATGTCTTGTGCGATGAAATTGCAGGGAAGCATGGGGTAAAAGGTAAGTGATGCCTTTGGATGGCCTCTCTGTTAAGAAGAAATCCAGGGGCAGATTGTCTTCATGGTGCACATCAACAGTTGTAACATCGGAAGATTCATTGTGACAGATAATAGAGTTTAAATGGTTTATACTTTCATACTTCTGTGTTGTGTTCCTATCTTACAGACTTTTATAGTATTGAATAAAGGGAAGGCCATCTTCCGGTTCAGTGCCACCTCTGCCCTGTACATTTTAACTCCCTTCAATCCTCTTAGGAAAATAGCTATTAAGATTTTGGTACATTCATATCCTTTTCAAGTAATCAATATTAACTATTTGTACATAATCTATAAGTGCTTTGGCTAAATATAAAATTAAGTTAGGACACATATATGTTTTATGGCTTTGTCACTCTAATTTTGTATCTACTTTTGTCATATTAGCTTTATTCTTCTTTTATAAGCTTTATTCTTGAAGTATATTAGCCACATAGATGTCACTGAAACTTACAGTCTTAACATTATGTATCTACATATACCTTTCTAATAATACTTGTATGTGTTAAGTCCTACAAATCTAAGATAGCTATATTACTCTTTACTATATTTGTACACAGTTTGTAGTGATCAGGAATAGGCATCAAAGAATGATATTAAAGAAATCTAATTCCATAGCCAAGTTTAGACATATCTATATTAGATAGCATTTTAGTTTACCTTAAAATAAATCTTTAAGCATATTTTCTATGAAAGAGGCTCAGAGGGCTTGACTAATACTTAGCTAATTCTTGAACTTTCCTAATGAATTCTGTGAAGGAATTACAGAAATACTGGCTGAATTTCCAATTTAATTCATTGAATTATTACTACCAACCAAAACTGATTGCTTAGTAAAGACTACAGAAGTTAATAAAGATACTTAGATTATATTTCCAAATGGTCTTTAGAGATGTGGCAATGTGATTCCCATGGTGTTAAAGAAAAAGAAGGACTTTACAAATAACTTCAACTGTTCATATTCATTGGCAAAAACTTTCTAATTATGTCTCATTTGATGGCTTTGGCAATAAGAAAAATAGAAATACTTATATAATGATCATAAACTCATACAACCTGGTTCTTTTAAAAAGTATAAAACTTAAAGTAAAAGATCATTCTGTTTTTAAACTGATAATAAGAAAATCCTCGGTGATATAAATACATTATTGTTAAAATTAAAAGATTTGAAATATGAAACTCATATGTTCAGCATTTTTAAGGGTATGGTTTCCATATCCTACTTTTTGTTTCTAGTGCCATCATGTGGTCATTTGATGAAAACTTTCTTCTTTTTTTTTACTTAATGGAAAATTTTTACTTTGGCAATAAACTGTAGTAGAAAGAATATTGAATATGAAGGCAGAAAATTTGTGTTCTAGTCCTTGGCTGAGTTATCTAATTTCTCTATGTTTTAGGCCTTATTTTCCTGATGTCTAAAATAGAGTGATTACAATATTTGTTTTTCTAGGTCCCTTTTAGTCACTTGTTTTAGCTAATTCTTATCATATCACACATATTAACTTATTTAATCTGCACCTCAAACTGATCCTGAGTGACTTGCCCAAGACCATTTTTAGGCTAAATTTTAATTATATTCACAACATGTTAAGTCCTGGCCATAAATAATATTCACTTTTAATCATATCCATGGCTGCTACAGATAATTCAGTCAAAACAGAGTAACCCAACACCTAGCACCATGCTGCTCTCTGTATATACATTTTAAAATGTGTTGAACTCTATTAAGTAACATTTATTTCAGAAATTATAATATTGCAGGTATGTGTCCTCTTCAACAACTTACTATTTTAATCACCTGAAATAGTTTAAGTCAATCTCTCTGCTCAAAAACTATAAGGCCCCAAATTGCACATAGTTTTCCCTCTAAAGTTCTCTGAGGAGTAAATAATTTCACTTAGTAATAGTAGCAAAAGCAATACTTGTCCTTATATAAAGCTTTCTTGTACATTATCTCATTTAATCTATATCATTACTCTCTGAGGTTGATATTATTACTACATTTTACCAATGACAAAACTGAAGTTTAAAGAGATTAGATAACTTGTCCATGGTGTATTTTTCATGAGCCCTGGCTAAAATTCAGTTTAAGCTTTTCAATGTTAGTTTTATATAATACATGGATTTGTATTTGTGTGTGTGTGTTCCTTAACAATAACCCACATTATTCAGCATGCTAATTATGTGCACTATTTTGACCAACTGTGTGTTTATGACAATGAGTAACCCTCCTGAATGGACAAAGAATGTAGAGTAAGTTCAACTTGTATTTTAAACCATCTACTATGTGACTATAAATGTATGTTACATAGATAGATATAAATATATACATATAGATAAATATAGACATATAGACATATAGACATAAATATACATATGTATAGTTAGGATTTTGAAAGTATGTCTTAATGTACCTTCTAAATAAAACCAAAGAGCTTGTTTATTAAAGGCATTTCTAGGCACAATTTCAAAGCATGAAGATAATACTCATTGATCCATAAGCCTGCTAGGGGTGGGCTAATATCTCTTGTTCATGCATACTTGGTGGATACCAGGAGCCCATCATTCTTGGACACTTACCACTTTTCTTCAGGATCTAGAGTGGTCAAAGCATGTGTGGTGAAAACAATTGCAAAAAAGAGCCATATGGTAGGATTTGGTCCCAGGTAAATTTCAGATGAATTCAGTGAGTTACAAATTTATAGGGGCAGGTTACACATGCCATCAGAAGACATTGCTGAGTCTCACAACGTTTTCCCTTTCATCAGGCATATCCTATTCATGTCAGGTCTATATCCCAACAGTTGGGATTTTAAAATTTGAGAATTCAATAGATTGAGAACTAAACTAACTGAGGTGAAAGAATAGCATTTTCAGAAAACAGAAACATTACTCATTACATTTGTAGGCTCTGTTCTGGAATATATTTGAGAGCAGAGAGTCCAGATCTGTGGGCTCATTCTACCCATGTTGTGACCACTATTACTCCATGGCTGTTGACCCTTAAAACAACAGCTCAGAGCTATTCCCAAGATCTTCTTCAGTTCTTAGAAAGTTCCAGATTAGAGCCAATCAGAAAAGGGACAAGATTATGAAGGAAAAAACATTATATACAAAGAATGCCTGAAGTACTGACATTGACATCTGAGGTCCACAGGTCTTTAGTCATCCTAGTTTTTGTGATTTTTATTCTTCGACTTCTGAGTAAAAGATTTAAACTTGGAAACATCCCAAGTTTCTGAGTTAGCCTCATATTTCATTCTAAATTATGACTCTGGAATGATCTACTTTGTTGTTAACAAAATTTTTTTTTGCAAGTAAGTTAACCTGTCTTATGGAAAGAGAGAAATAAAGACTTGCTAATTTGTCAATGTTTTTCATTCATAAAACATGATTGAAACTGAGTTTTTTACTTTTGGGAGAAAAATCATTTTATGCTTCTGCAATATTATGGATTGGCCACTCCATCACATGAATGTACTAGAATTCTCAGGGGGTTGTATGCATTAATGTCAATACTAAGACATTTCAGATAGTACCTAGCTAGACTTTATATAGCATGTATTTCTCACTCTGCTCTCAGGATACTCTTCATGTGTTAGGGAATTGAACTTAAAGTAAGGGCTGTGTTTTATTAACATGAAAATAATATCACCAGCTTAGATTCCTTTTATAATATTCACCTATTCCACTAATAGGGTGATAAGAAATTGACATGTGATGAAAAATATATTACTTTATCAATTCTTTCTGGATACTTATCTCCAGGTACACCTTCACTGGGATATATACTTTTGAGTCACTTATAAAAATTATTGCCAGGGGCTTCTGTTTAGAGGATTTTACTTTCCTTCGGGACCCATGGAACTGGCTCGACTTTACAGTCATTACGTTTGCGTAAGTGCCTTTTTTGAAACTTCAAAAGAGTATGGTTTGGCTTTTGATGACTGTTTATGCTTTGAAAGAATGAGCTTGCTGTAACTGTAGAATATCTGGGTGTGATTTATACATTTAATTTAGTATAACAGAGGTCAAAGTGACATTTCACTTTGGCATAAAGTCTTTGCATTGGTTGAAATGACAGTTTTCACATGTAACGAAAGTATAGCAAATTTCATTCATCCTGCTTTTTCAACACACACACACACACACACACACACACACACACACACACTAATAAGAAAGAAAAAGTTTATTCATTTTACATCTGCGAAAATGACTTTTAAAAAATACAGACACAAACAACTCAGCTGGTCGCACCAATTTTCATTGACCTTACCCATTGAATTTTCTATCCTCTATTACTTTAGTAAAATAATAGAAAATAAACATCTATTAGCATCAAAACATTTCAAATCAAACTGAGGTGGGGGGTGATAAAGTATTTAATATATTAAATTTTTATTTCATCAGCAAGTAATTTTAAGTCTTACTCTGCCTACTTTCTCCTTCTAAACTGATTCCTTTTCTTTCTTTCTTATTTCCCTTTATGACTTTTGTCATCTCTCTCTTCACCCTCAACATAAACCTTTTATTCATGCCTCCCTTCCAGATACACTCAGTATGCGCACAATATCACATCCCTGCCTACTCTCACACCCCAACCTTTTTTTTTTTTTTTCAAGTGGTAAATTTCCCCACGAGAGAGGAAACTCAAAAAAGTAACAGAAGGTCATTCAGGAGTGGGTGAAATTAGCGTGTGGAGGAAAGTGGACCTGCACCACTTGCCCTCATCATTCTCTCCGGAGAGAACTTTTTTTAGCCTTTACATGTATACTGGGTAGATGGGAAGAGAAGCAGAGCAGATATACTCAGGGCTCCAAACACTGCCTCTCTCCTCTTCATTCTGTAATCCAACCAGGAAGTGCCAATTCTTCGCCATTCCCTCTGGCCATGATTTAAAAGAAGGCATTTTGAGACTAATGATTTTTAGAGCAAAATAGCCGTAATGGCAAGAGCATCATTGGGCCCCCATAAAATATTGTTCTTAGTTTGCCTAACTTTCACTTAAAGATTACACTAGAAAAATGTTGTCCTGTACAGCTAGTCAGGCAATCTGCCTTTTCATGCATAATTTTCATTTGCATAATTGTATGCATTTTTTTTTCCTAACTGCAACCTGGAAACTACAATTAAGCTTTCTTTTAACTTAATTCTCCTAAGTTACACATGGTGTTGATGGCATTTGCTTTTCAAAATGGCAACAGGATTATGCACTTCGTGAAGTTTACATCTAGTTGATGGCCTTAAATTATGTGAATAAAGAAACTCACAGTAATACGCTCTATTATTTAAATTGCTACTGACACA